TACACTCTATCTTTTTAGATCCCGCTTTATAGGATTACACTGGGTTTGTTGTTGTTGCTGAATAAGTGATTTATATTAACTACTTCTACTATAAAATGTGAGAGTATGAGAGAATAAGTTAAAGGATTGATCTTCACACGTGTCCAACCAAATACTAATTCGGATTAATTAAATAAATTAAGTGAGAAAGACTGATTAAATTAATCATATGAAAAGTCCAACCAGAACAGGCATTTTTATAGCATCACCTCCCTTAGATATCAACCAAATCATCATATTATTCTTTTCTTTTTTTTTTTTGTCATGAGGCTTCTCCATAAGAACTGCAATAAATTTTTATGCTCCATAGAAGACAGATAATAATTAGATCAAGAAACCTTGGTAAAAAGATGGAAAACTCTCTCGCCACAAGGTCTCGCAATAAATTTTGGTTTGTTTTCTTTGTTTTGTTTGTTTCTTGGTACTTGTTGCTTTATGGTGTTGATTGGTCTTCTCTACCTGGAATTGTAACAACAACGTCACGATACGAAGCGAGTTCAATTGAATCCATTCGTCTAGCTTCTATTCCTCCTCCAACTCGCCTTGTTGAAAATAACGTTAGCTCAAATTTCAATTCTTCAAGTATTAATAATGCCACCACTGATGCTACAAAGAAGGAGACGCGATCCGAGGAGGAATCAATTAATGAAAATGACAATGTGGTACATGATTTGGAGGCGCTTGAGAAAGAATTGGAACCTTTGTTAAGAAAAAATGAACGGAAAGATGAAAAGTTTGAGAAAAATGCAACTCAAGAAGATAAAAAGGGAGGAAAATCGTGTGAAGGACGATATATATATGTTGCAGAAATACCAAGTAGGTTTAATGAAGACATGCTGAAACACTGTAATTTGTTAAATAAATGGGAAGATATGTGTCAATATTTGGTAAACATGGGACTTGGTCCTGATCTTGGTAACCCTCAGAGAGTTTTCTCAAACAAAGGTTGGTTTACGACGAATCAATTCTCGTTAGAAGTTCTGTTTCATAACAGAATGAAGCAATATGATTGTTTAACGAATGATTCTTCGAAAGCTGCAGCAGTTTTTGTGCCATATTATGCAGGTTTTGATGTGTCAAGGTATTTATGGGATGATTTTAATATATCAATGAGGGATTCAGGTGCAACNGTCAAGGTATTTATGGGATGATTTCAATACATCAATGAGGGATTCAGGTGCAACTGAGGTTGCAAAAATTCTTAAGGAAAAACCTGAATGGGAAACTATGTGGGGTAGAGATCATTTCATGATTGCAGGTAGAATTACTTGGGATTTTAGGAGAGGTATTGAGGAGGATTCTGCTTGGGGTAACAAGTTAATGTTGTTGCCTGAGGCACAAAACATGACAATCTTGACAATCGAATCGAGTCCTTGGAACAGGAATGATTTCGCGATCCCATACCCGACATACTTTCATCCTTCAAGTGACAATGATGTGTTGCAATGGCAAAACAGAATGAGGAGGCTGAGGAGGAGGGTGTTGTTCTCGTTCGCGGGGGCACCACGACCAAATTTGGAGGAATCAATCAGAAGTGAGATAATGGAACAGTGTTTAGCAACGAGGCGAAAATGCAGACTCTTGGAATGCAAAGACTTGCACAACAAATGCAATAAACCAGTTCATGTTATGAAACTGTTTCAAAGTTCTCATTTTTGTTTACAACCCTCTGGTGATTCATTTACTAGAAGGTCTACTTTCGACTCCATTTTAGCTGGTTGTATACCGGTGTTTTTCACTCCAGGTTCTGCTTATATTCAATATATATGGCATTTACCTAAGGATTACACAAAATACTCAGTACTTATTCCAGAAGATGATGTGAGGAAAAAGAAAGTAAGCATTGAAAATGTACTATCTAAAATACCAAGATCACAAGTTGCAGCAATGAGAGAGGAAGTAATAAAGCTAATACCAAATGTGGTATATGCAGATCCAAGATCAAGATTGGAGAGTGTTGAAGATGCATTTGATTTAGCCGTCAAAGGGGTTCTTGAAAGGGTGGATGTAATGAGAAAAGAAATGAGACAAGGCAAGAACTATAGTATGGTATTTGATGAAGAATATAGTTGGAAGTATTATACTTTTGGAACTATAGAAAAGCATGAGTGGGATCATTACTTTTTGAGAACAAGTAAAGAGAAGTACTAAATCATTTGTCAAAAGTCTTGCCCCATTACTACGTTAGTTGTAGTCTCTAGGTAGCTAGTTTTATGTAAAGCATGTATTTTATGATCTCATTTCTGTTGTAAACTCTATAGAGTATTTTTGCTTTCTCCTCATTTCTTTTTGTTTAACCCTCTTCCCCTTTGTTTGGAAAGGTTTCCAATTTTATTTTTACAGAATACTTTCTCAAAATTGAGTTCTCAATGAATGGAATTTTCATACTTTAAATATAGCTGAAGATGTCTTCAGCAACCCAACCTGACGGTAAGCAACTTCCACTTCCAACCAAGAGGTTGTGAGTTTGAGTCTCCCCAAGAGCAAGGTGGGAAGTTCTTGGAGGGAAGGATGTCGGGGGTCTATTTGGAAACAACCTCTCTACCTCAGGGTAGGGGTAAGGTTTGCGTACACATTACCCTTCCCAGACCCCCACTAAGTGGGATTATACTGGGTTGTTGTTGTTGTTGATGTCTTCAGCCGAGGGTCTTTCGGAAACAACCTTTCTATACCTACAGGGTAGGGGTAAAGTCTGCATATACTCTACCCTCCCCAAACTCCACTTGTAGAATTTTATTAGGTTGTTGTTGTTGTAAATATAGTTGAAGATGATAATAATTTACAAGTTATAAACCAATAATATAGGCATCAAAATGAAGAATTTGTCACTGAAAAATCAACATCTAGACCACAAAGATGTTCACTTTTAAAAGGTATAGACGGCAAGGCAAGGTACCTCTGCTCTTTATTTTTAATACTTTGGCCCGTAGAATTAAATACGTATACAGAGCCATCGCAGCGGAAATTAAACAAAAACGTACCTTCAGTCATAGTTGTTCAAGTATCGGAGAGTCGCCTTGGAGGAACTTCGACAGAAAACCTAGGAGCCTTCTAGCTTGTATCTATCGCAGGATGACACACTGATGAAGTCACATGCGTATTTATAGGTAGGCTAGGGACTCTTAGGCAAATACTCTAGCCCTATGGACTTCTCCATAAATTATAATTGCCCTAGAGACTCCTAATAAAAATTATTTCTTTTCATCAAAGAAACTACCATATATGCATAACTACAGAATATTATCTGATATATTATTTCATTTTGGGAGACAAGGTAAATAATTTACGGAAAAGGGCCTAAAATACTCCTATCGTATGATAAATGGTTTATAAAATCCCCCCGTCCATCTATCCGTCTGAAAATATATAGGACGTTATTTTTATTTTCAAATTTACCCCCGCGAACTCCACGTGGGCATCTCATTAAATGATGTGGCGTTCTTTCATTTGTCCACGTGGCTCAATGGGGCTCACATTGTATTTGAGTATTTTTCGACCCATCAAACCGATCTGACCCACTCCTTTTACCTTATACCCACTCTTTTAACCCTATACCCACATATTTTACTAGTCTTCTTCCTCAATTTAGAACCTTATACCCGTTTTATTTTTTCAATCCTATCTTCTAACTCTGAACCTTTCACCGACAACCAACCATGACTTCTTCTTCCTTAGTTCTCTCTTTTTTCTTCTATTTTATTTCTATGTTTTCTATTTTGCTTTTCTTTTTCTCTTTTTTTCCAGCATCGAACCCATATTTTTTTTCTAACTCTTTCTTGCTACTGCCGTCACTCCATACTGCCGAAGCCCGGAGAAGGGTACGAAGTATTAATACAAAAGGCAACGACGAACAGATCTTAAAATATTATTGACTGGCTAGAGTTGAGACCTTATGTTCGAAATCGCCTGAAATTGTCCATTGTTTTAAGCTAGTTTCTTGAGTGACTCGAAAAGTCTCTCAAAAACTGAAGGAAGGAATGGAGCTTCACTTTGGCCGGAGAAATTTTCCGGCGAAGGCCCCCATTGTTGATCTTTATTTTTCCACTAGTCGTTGTTGTCGTTCTTCATTAGCTAGGTTCTTTATGTTGCTAACTGAGATATTTTTCATTGATTTCTGTTTTTGGAGGAGGGATGGCGTCGATGATGGTGTACGAGGTGGTGGAGAAGGTGTAGGTGGAGTTTTTGTGAGGTGATAACAAGGAGATAATAGAAAAATAAAAAGAAAAAATTAGGGAAGAAGACTAGTAAAATCTGTGAGTATAGGGTTAAAAAAGTGGGTATAAGGTAAAATGAGTGGGTCAGATCGGTTTAATGGGTCAAAAATACCCAAATACAATGTCATCCCCATTGAGCCACGTGGACAAATGAAAGAACGCCACATCATTTAATGAGATGCCCACATGGAGTTCCGTTAGTCGTGGGGGTGAATTTGAAAATAAAAATAATGTCCTATATATTTTCAGACGGATAGATGGACGGGGGGCTTTTATAAACCATTTATCATATGATAAGGGTACTTTAGGCCCTTTTCCGAATAATTTATTACCTTATATGTGGGCAATACTAGAAGTCTCTAGAAGAGATGGTAAATTTCTAACATTCCCCCACTTGACCCACATATTAAAATCAGATAATCTTTTATGAGAGATAAATATAATAATACGACCATAGACTTTATCATTCAACTAAAAGTTATGCAACAATCACTTTAACTAGAACATATCATTACATGAATCATGGTGGTCATGCTCTTAAACAAATAATTTCTTTCATGTATTACAATGTACAATATGTTCTAACAAAGTGTCAACAACTTTATGAATAAACTTAATATAAGTCATTTAGAGTCCAACTTTATTGATTCAATGATCATAAAATAATACATGAAAACCAAATGTGCACTGTCATATATATCAAAATAAACATAATGTCTATACAAATTATTAGAGAATAAAGTAAAGCTAAATTGAGCTATTAATACCCATATGGTTTACATGATCCTTGAAAATATTAGCTGGCAGACCTTTAATCATCGGATCAGCAATCATCAAAGTAGTACTAATATGCTCAAAATTCACATCTTGCTTCTTCACATAGTCTCTAACCATCAAGTACTTTATGTTGATGTGCTTGCTTCGGCTGCCACTTTTATTATTCTTAGAAAAGAACACTGTAGCTGAATTATCACAGAAGAATCTCAATAGCCGTGAAATGTAATCAGCAATCCTAAGGCCGGAAATAAAGTTCTTCAATCATAAGCCTGTGATGTAGCTTCATAACATGCTATAAATTTAGTTTTCCATTGTGGATTTTGCAACAATGGTCTGCTTGACACTTCTCTAAGATACAACACCTCCAGCAAGAAGGAAAATGTATCCTGAAGTGGATTTACCAATGTCTTTGCATCCACCCAAATCAGAGTCTGAATATACAATCACCTCCAATGAGTTAGAGCATTTGTATATGAGCTTAAAATCCTTAGTTCTTTGCAAATATCTCAAAACCCTTTTACCAGCTTTCCAATGGTCAAGACCAGGGTTACTTTGATATCTGCCAAGCATTCCTACCGCAAAAGCAATGTCATGTCTAGTACAGACCTATGCATACATAAAACTCCCAACAAGCGAAGCATAGAGAATGTCTTTCATTTGCTCCTTTTCTAATGTATTTTGTGGATATTGATTCAATGAAAATTTATCACCTTTAGTTATGGGTACTGCTATAGGTGAATAGTTTTTCATCTCGAATCTTTCCAGAATTCTTTCAATGTAGGCCCTTTGAGACAGTCCAAGTAATCTTTGGGATCTATCTTTGTGAATCTCTATGCCAATGACATAAGAGTCTTCACCCATATCCTTCATCTCAAAATGTTGAATAAGGAAATGCTTAGTCTAGCGCAACAACCCCAAATCACTACTTGCAAGTAAAATGTCATCTACATATAGAACTAGAAAAATATATTTGCTACCACTTATTTTAAGGTATATACATTGATTAATGATATTCTCCATAAATTCAAATGAAGAAACAACATTATGAAATTTAATATACCATTGGCGGGAAGCCAGTTTTAGCCCATAAATGAATTTATTCAACTTGCAAATAAGGTGATTTTTGTCCTTATCACAAAATCCTTCAGGTTGACGCATGTATACCTCATTTTCAAGATCTTCATTCAGAAAAATTGTTTTCACATCCATTTGATGTAACTCTAAATCAAAATGAGCTACTAATGTCATGATTATTCTCAATGAATCCTTCTTTGATACTGCAGAGAAGGTTTCATGGTAATCAATGCATTCCCTTTGATTAAAAACTTTGGCTATAAGCCTGACTTTATATCTTTCGATATTACCATATGAGTTTCTTTTAGTTTTAAAAACCCATTGGGAACCTATATTAGAGGTTCCCTTTGGTAATTCGACGAGATCCCAGACTTTATTTTTAGCCATAGATTCTAACTCTTCTTTCATGACATCATACCAAAATTTGGAATTTTCTTACCTCATGGCTTGTGAAAACGAGCATGGACCATTTTTTATTCTAATATCATAATCAAACTCTTTGAGATATACAACATAGCCATTAGAAATTACTGATTTTCGAACTCGTGAGGATTTTCTTACTCTCATTGTTTCAGACGTTTCTTCAATGGGTTCAGGTAAAGTAGATTGATCTTCATGTGGCTCCTCAAGTGGTGGTGGATCTTGAACTTGTTCTTGTTCATATAATTCATGAGAATTTTTCTGAGCAACATTCAAGTTCTCAATATATAAAGGTACCACAGGTGGTGCCCTCATTTCTTCCAATTCCATCCTTTGAGTCAAACCACTCCTATTCTCTTTATGCTCCTCAAGAAATTTGGCATTTCCAGCCTCAATAATTTTAGGAGAAGGACAATAAAACCTAAATCCCTTAGAGTTAACCGTATAGCCTATAAAATAACCGCATATTATTCTTTTATCCAGCTTCTTTAGTTGTGGATTATAAATCCTCACTTCAGTTGGACATCACCAAACGTGTAAATGATTTAAACTAGGTTTCCATCATTTCCATTACTCAAAAGGTGTCTTGGGGACAACCTTGGATGGAACCCTATTTAAAATATACACAACGATTTTTAAGGCTTCACTCCATAAGGATAAAGGTAAACTTGGTCTGCTAATCATGCTTCTTACCATCATTAATGTCGGGTTCCTTCTTTCTATCACACCATTTTATTGTGTTGTTCCTGGCATGGTATATTGAGCAATTATACATTTATTTTCAAGGAACTCAACAAATGAACCCTTAACTTGTCCCTTATCTGTGTACCTACCATAATATTCTCCACACATATTAGATCTTACAATTTTGATCTGAGCACCAGTTTATTTCTCTACTTCTGTTTTGTACTTTAAAAGCATCAAGTACTTCTGATTTGTTAAACAGAAAATAAATATACATATATCTTGAATAGTCATCAACAAATGAGATAAAATATCTCTTACCATTCAAGCAAGGGGTAGAAAAATATCCACATATATTTGTATGTATGATCTGAAGCAATTGAGAACTCCTTTTGGTATCTTTAGTTGATTTGTTGGTTTGCTTACCCTTATGCAGTCCACACAAGTCGCAAAGTCAGAAAAATCAAGAGCTTTTATAACTCCATCATTAACCAACCTTTTGATTCTATCAATAGAGATGTGTCACAATCTCTTGTGCCAAAGACTTGATAAATTCTCATTGATAATACATCGCTTAGAGCTAATTTCTTTGTCTTGCAAAGTTAAAACATTGCATTTAAATGTGGGGTTTAGCTCGAGTTTATATAAATTTTCATTCAAATTTACAAAACCAATAACTTTATTATCTTTCAAAAGTTTCACAGAAGGATAATGAAAATTCAAATCATGTCCACTAATTGATAGTCTTGAAAGAGAAATTAAATTTCTAGAATATTCTGCAACATAAAAAGTATTTTCCAAATCTTAGTGAAAACCATCCTTCAAAATGAGCCTATAAGTCCCTACGCCTTCTACACGTGAACGCGTCCTATTTCAAGAATAAACGTATTGTTCACTTTTTATCGGCTTCCTTTGAGTTAGAAAGCCCTGTATGATTTTGCCAATGTGAACTGTAGCACCAAAATTAATCCATTATGTATTATCAGAAACTTCAGTAAAATTAGATTCATAACATACAAAGGTAAAATTACCTTCCTCTCAAGCAATTTCTTGTATTTCAGGCAATCCTTCTTCTAGTGTCCCTTCTTCTTACAGAAACGGCAAGCATCTTTGTCAAATGTGATTTCTTCTTCATAGGAACACATTTTCCCTTCTTTGCATTTCTCTTCCCATGAGTCACCATATTAACACTTTCAGGTGTCTCATGTTTCAACCTCTTTTCTTTTTGAACACACATGGTCAAGACTTATTGATTGACCATTTATCCTTATGTGTGTTGTAAGAAATCTGAACGGACCATATTTCGCAGGAAGTGAGTTGAGAATGAAATGCACAAGAAATGGCTCAGACATATCAACCTCAAGGGACTTAAATTTAGCAGCAATGTTTCTCATCTCCATAATGTGGTCATGCACTGTATGACTTTTGTTAAAAGTCATACTTGAGAGCCCCTTCATAAGGGTACTAGCTAATGCCTTATCAGAGCTTACAAGTTGTTCATCCATTGCCTTTATGTAAGCTTTGATCTTATCTCTATTGGGGATAAAATCCCTAATACTTTGGCTTATGCGGGCTTTTATGAGCATTAAACTTAAACGATTAGATCACTCCCACCGCTCATAATCAGCCTTAGCCTCTGGCGTACTTTATTCCGTGGGAATATGTGGTTCATCCACACGGAGTGCCAGGTCCAGATGCGAAACACCCTAAAGTGAGAAGGACTTTCTCCTTCCATTCAGTATAATTGTCACCAGAAAGCATTGGAATTTGAGCACTCTCATTAAAAATAGCGATAGAAAAAGCGGTAAAGACGATAAAGCAAGGATAAACATATATAAGCTACGAAGTACAATCCATCAGGGTGAATCGCGTAAAATACCGATTCTAAGTAAATTCCACACCCTCATGCAGGCAGAGGTTACAACTCATGCATAGAATTTATTTTACTTTATTAGACTAGTAAATTAAAATTCATAGAAATTAATTTGTACCTATGGGTATAAGATAATTTCAAACTTAAAGGTTACTATCTCATTCCAATTAATCTCACCAAAATAATTACCTCCCTGTAAGGTCGGGTTGTTATTTTAGTGAGATAACTGAACTATATAAATGTCATTATAAATTTTAATCACTAAGCTTTATGTGATTAAATAACATAATTTCTTTTATATTAAATGTTCAAGATGTTGTGGCCACTCCTAAATAATTCACATAAAAGAAAACTCAAATGACATCTCAAAATAATTAACTTTAACAATCAAACTTCAGCAAAATATTGATTGGCCATTATACCAAAGGTTAATTCTCATAATTAATTCGCTCATCATAAAATCAAATAATTGTAAAGGAACAGGAAGAAACAAAACTTCAAATACAACTGAGTAGTGCTTGGATTGTTAGTCAAATTCCTTTAATCCAAAACAAAGTTGGAACCGAGACTCCAAATTGTTTATAAAAAATAACGAACAAAGCTCACAAAATTGCAAAGAAAAAGTGAAGCATGGTTAGACAAACAACAAGGATTTTATTGGTAATTCCTCTTTATTCTATTTCAATAGAATCATAAATATGTAACGAAATTGTCAGAATATAAACATAGTATTAAAAGTAACTTTTAATACTTTTATCTTTCTTTAAATCGAATTGCACAGCCGAAAACTGATACCGAAAAACCTAATTGCATAAATGTGGCAATTTACATAATATGGAAAGTAGACAAAACATGGACCAAGCAATACAAAATAAGGTAAACATCACCTTATGCGGCGTGAAAAATTGCTTATGCAGAAACTTGTGAGAATAAACTTTGACTAGGACATCCCCGCTACTAAGGATTCGTTTGATTGGAATATGATTTATGCCGGTATAAGTTATATTGGGATAAGTTATGCTGGAATTAGTTATGCTGGGATTAGTTATGTTGGGATTATTGTTTATTCATTGTTTGGTATGTTGTATTTGTTTAACTAAAAAATGAATTTTTAGTCAAAGCTAGAATTTAGAAGAACACGGGTTACTGATAATCAAAAGAATATATAAAAGGAAGTAATTTAAGTAGCAAGAGAGTAATCGAGAGAAAAACAAGTAAACCAAAGTTTTATATCAATAGTATTTTGTGTCCTTACAATTGATCAGATATCTCCTTTTTATAGATATCTTGGAGATATACGTTTTGTCCAAATCATAATGAGGTTATTATGAGTAATTAAAGACATTTAATGCTACGTTACATAATCATTATATTCAATACAAATTCTCTAACATATTCCACATTCAATGCCTATTAAATGTCGTATCCTCACTCTTTTCTAATGTCAGATTCATTCCTTTTGATTCTCGGACATAAATGATTTAGATAGGTCCGGGTGCTGGGTTATTTGTATTCCTGCCCGTGCCTCTTCCTCTGCCATTTGCTCGTATTTGTTGCAACTCGTGCCTCCTGGCTAGTTGTAATTCTTTGACCATTTGACCAGTCTACGTGTTTCGACACGTATTCGTCACGTCACCTTTATATTTAAATATAATTTTTTTCAATACCGATAGTCCCCCCACTTTCCATTTATTCATCAGTTGAATATTTAAGAAGTGGATTTCATTAAAAGAGAATTTTTGTCACCATTAATACTATGCCAAAATTGACGCTTCAATTGTCGCTTCCATTTAATGCTTCGTACACGTGTCTTTTTTTCATTAGTTCTGCAGTTTTGCAGCCCCTTTTCAAGGCTTTTAACGGCTCCACTATTCACGAAGTGCCAGTTATCATTATTATGGTCCTTCCACCACTGCACTTTTTACCTTTGGCGATGGCGTATTAATATAAATATAACTTCTCTCCTTGTCTTTTACCACATAAAGCTTATTGAACACTTAATTTCTGACATTCTTCTTCTTTGCTATGTCTTTACCAAATCCTAACCCTAGGAGAGTTCCCAGTGTTGATACCTTCCCTAATGCCCCTATTAGACATAGAAGGGGAGGTAGACTTCGTAACTTAGGATCTACTCGCGGTGGTGGTTCGCCTATACCTTCACCTATTTCTGGTCCTTCTTCCAGAACCAGAGGTTCCCTTTCTCACATATCTTCTTCTAGGGATAAAGAACCTTTTAAACCATTACGTGAACCTTTAGTAGAGGAAATAGTCCCTACAGAATTATCTTTTTACCATGATAGGGAATCTCTTAGAAACCAGGTTTCCGCCTTAGATCGTGTTGACGCTTACCCCACTCAAATTACAGAAGTTTTAACTCCTGTAGTTCATAAAGACTGTCATTGGAGTAATGATTTTTCCATTATTATGCCTAATCCAAATCAGAGAATTACTTATTACTTGACTGGGTTCTCTTTTGTTTATACATACCCTATCACTTTAGGGTTCAAACCAGCTATTGACCCAGTTATTCTGGAATTTTGTCGTTTCTTTAACATCTATTTGGGGCAAATTGGCCCAATCATATGGAGGCTATTGCCTGTTTGAGGCATCTAACCAATTTGGCTGACGTTTTCTTTACTTTTCCTCACCTGATTCATCTTTACTCCCCTAGACTTTTCTGTAATGGCGTTTTTACCCTAGTGGCCAGGAGTAAGAGGGTTTTAGTGAGCCCTGAAGATGACAAAGACCGTGGCTGGTACACCCGATTTATTGCTGCCCCTACTATTGATTTAGTGGGTGAGAATAACGTTCCCTTCCTTGAGAAGTGGAATTTTGCACGTAAGTCTTTTATCTATCTCGTACCTTTTTCCTTCAAGTTTATCAACTTCTCTAATTTTTGCTCCTCCTCTTTCTTTTTAGCAACCATGGGAGTGGTGAAAAATATTACCAATTTTCGTGATTGGGTAGATAAATTGTTGAAGGCCGCACCAATAGATGGTAGGTCTTGGAAAACACTTTCTAACCATTACGGTTGGAAAATAAAGACTCATGGTAAGAGTTTTTATTTCATCTTTCACGCATGTACATATTTTTCTTTATGGTTCTAACTTCCATCCTTCTTTTTATCAGGATTTGCTATTCGAGGAGTTACTGCTGAAGCAGTTGCGGCCTCTCATGTCTCTTCGGGAACCCGTATCTCTTTATAAAGAGCCCGAGAAATAGTCTTGGGTTCTTCTTCTGCAAAAAGGAAAACTGTTGAAGAAGGATACTCTGAAGAAGAGGAAGATGGGGTTCCCTGGTGACGAGGCCACGAGCTAGGAGACGCATCGTCTCTGATGACGAAGTTGAAGTTTCCCCTCGTCTTTCTGTTCCTCTTACCGAACCTGTTGAAACCCCAGTAATAATTCTTGACGATGACATCACTCCCCATGATACCCATGAATCTATTGATCAACTTTTCTTTAGTGGTTTTGGCAGTGGAAGTTTAGGGCCTGTTTTAGACAAAATACCCTTATCTTCTTTCTCAACTTTCGTGCCTATGATTCCTTCCTTACCAGCCCCAACTGTTTTTGTTCCTTCTTCTACTGTTTTCACTTCCTCTACTCCTCCTCCTTCAACAGCTCCCGCTCATATATTCCACCATACGGAAGCAAGCTCTTCAAGTAGAAGTGCCGCTATGAGGAGAGTAACCATTGAAGTTCCTGCTGATAGCAGCCTTTTGAGATAGTCAGGTCAATCAGACGTATGGCTGGAACCTTTAATCGGTCCAATTGAAAAAGCAAAGCTGGAGAGCCATAGTTCCCTGACTCTAATGAATAATATCGTGCATGCCACTTTGAAGGTACTTTCATTCTCTCCCTTCTTTACCTTATAAAAAAAATTATCTTTGGGATTCTGATATTCTTATTTCCTTTCCTTTTTTTAGGCCAATCTTATCAGCACAGAAATGATGAGCAGAATCCCTCTCTTGGAGAAGGTAGCACGTGATTCCTAATTGGATGCGATCAATTGGAAGGAACAATTTGAGAGTGCACAAATTGATATGGAAGATTTACAAGAAGGCAAGAGTACCCTATAACAGCAGGTGCGGGCTTTAACTTCAGAGTTAGCGGTTGCAAAGGCTTCCTCAAGCCAAGCAGAAAAAGACAAAGAATGTCTCGAATCTTCTTTCTCAGAGCAACTATCTAAAGACAGCAAAGAGAACAGAGAGTTGAAGGCTCTTTTGAGTTAAAAAGAAGTTTACGCTGGGGAGCTCGTGCAAAGCTTAACTCAAGCACAAGAAGACCTTCGAGTCTCGGCTGACAAGGTTCGTGCTTTAGAGAGCTCCCATACTTCTTTTAAAGCTTCTTACAACTCCGCCTTGGCTGAAAACGAAGAGCTAAAGAATGAGATTGCTGATTGGGAAAAGGATTATGAGACCCTTGAAGAAAAATCTGCTGTTAAGATAAGTTGGGCATTTTTGAATTCTCGTCGAGATACCCCAATTGATGCTGGCCAAGAAAACTTCAACCTGGAGTTAGAGTTAGCTAAGATCAATGAAACCATTGAAAAAGCTCAGCAAACTTAGGACTTCCCTTCTCCCGTGGTTGAAGCTCCCGTAAGTGTTGAAGCTGATACGGGTATCCCAACTCT